CTCTCTCTCTCTCTCTCTCTCTCTCTCTCTCTCTCTCTCTCTCTCTCTCTCTCTCTCTCTCTCTCTCTCTCTCTCTCCCCCCCCTCCCTTGAGAATCTTGACTCTGAATACATCCGCTACTAATCAGCTCTATCTCCTACTACTACCTATGTGGCAGTGGCCGCCTTCCCTCTTAGAACGGCAATGCCCAGCAGGGCTCTCGCGCATGCTACTGGCAGAGAGCGCACAAGCACTTCAGCAGCAGTTCCACACTTCTCACGAATGAGCCATCTCCCCTGAAATGTGGCTGGCCAGTCCTTATATTGACTTGGACTGAGCCTCAACTCGTCTCAGCCTCTGCTTCCTTTGGCTTGACTTAGGGCCCTTTGGCTTGACTTAGGCCCGGTACCATATAATGCCCATGGCCTGCTTGCTTCAGAGAGAAGAGGTTAACAGAGAATTTTCAGGATTTTTTCAGGGTCATTATAACAAACGTCCCACACCTTTTACACCAGACTTGTCACCAGTCCATAGAGTGGACACCAAATAAACCAACAGCAAAAAAAATAAAAAATAAAAAAAATCAAAGGGGTGTTAAACCCCAAGGCGAAAGTGTGTTTTCATGCAAAATTCACTCTTTTCAGTTTTCAGGATTTTCAGTTGGGGCTGTTACTTTGGGGCTGAATAGTGGGGTTCCCTGTTAACCTTTGGTGGTTTCAGAGAGACGAGGTTAACAGAGTCCAAAATTTTCAGGATTTTTCAGGGTCATTATAACAAATGTCCCATACCTTTTACGCCAGACTTGTCACCAGTCCATAGAGTGGACACCATGTCAAGGCCTGGTGTACTTTTCCCCCATTTTCATGGGACCAGGTGCGCTGCTGCTTGGGTCTGTGAGTCCCGGCTTTTTCATCTGTGGAACACATGGCTTTTGACTGTGGGTTGTGACTTTTTCATCTATGGAACATGACTTTTGACTGTGGGTTGTGACTTTTTCATCTGTGGAACATGACTTTTGACTGTGGGTTGTGACTCTTGCCTCTGGGAAACGACTTTTGACTGGAGAAGTGTCCTTTGCCTGTGGGATATGACTTTTCAATATGACTTTTCTATATGATTTTTCAATATGAGACGTGACGTTTGCTTATCGAATGCAACCTTTGCCTCTGGGATGTGATTGTTCACCGGGTGCCTGTTGGACTTGACTCGTAAGGTACCCGACCGTGACCTTAAACTTCCATTTCCTCAAAATGGACATCTTTTATTTTTTGAACGAAATTGAAACCGAGTTTTTTGGCTGAAAACACGTCAAAATTTGTTGTTCCTGAGGGTCCGGCGTTTGTAAAACGCTGGACCCCCTGGCTGTACATGGACCTAGCTTGAGACCAGGTACCTCCAGGCAGTCCTGCCTGGAGGTGCCTGGTCTCAAGCTAGGTCCATGTACAGCTAGGGGGTCCAGCGTTTGTAAAACGCTGGACCCTCAGGAACAACAAATTTTGACGAGTTCTCGGCCAAAAAACTCAGTTTCAATTTCGTTCAAAAAATAAACAATGTCCATTTTGACGAAATGGTCGTTTTTCTGAACTGGCCTCCCTCGGCCAGAGACCTTGACCCTGAAATTCGAATTGGGGGTCCGCATTGTGGAATGCCTTTCAGTTTTAACGAGATCGTGGTTAATGGTACTGCTATTTCAACAACAAAAAAAGAAGGAAAATGCAAGGAATGAGCCCTCACCGGGGCCTTATCAGACATACAAGTGTTCTGGGCTTGCAGGCCCTAGCAAGCCTGTGCCTGCCCTAAGTGAAGACGGGCCTGAATATCCACGAGAGGCCTGTTTTCAACATTTTTCCACAAGTGGGGATTCAGACAGTTGCAGCACGTTAGTTGGTTACAGAGCAACGTGAGACTCCAGGCTCTTTCCATAAACAAGGGCTGCACTGTACAGTTGAGCCCAGGGCTCAGGTGGTTGCACCCTGGGCACACACTGTGTGAGGCCGGCACATCATGGACTGGCCGCGGGCCAATGAGAGAGCAGCATTGTCGTCACACATGAGCTGGGAGACAATGAGAATGCTGCCAGTGCGAACACTTGGAGGCTGGGTGGCTGCCTGAGCGTGCCCAACTGCACGAGGCCCAGGCCGGTACTGGAAACTGCGCCTGGGCGCAGGCAGACACTTGGTGCCAGAAGTAAGCTACTGGGCCCCCCACACGCCTGGCCAGGCCAGCCAGCAGCAGGAACACTATCCATAAAGGAAAGTGTGTGCCCCAGTGGGAGGGGATTCTGGCCTGTGCAGGCATTGCGGCCATGCTGCTGCATTGTTGTGCGAAGCTGCGCTATGCGGGCAGGCTGGGGCGCGCGCGGGCACTGAGTGATGAAGAGGGCACTGCAGTGGCAGTGGGTGCAGGGCGGCCATAGCCGGGCCGAGCGTGCGGGTGCAGGTGCTGACGATGGTGGTCTTCGGGTAGGAGGCGCATGCAGAGGGGGAGTCGAGGTGAGATGAGGGGAGGAGAGAGCTCGTACCTGGTGTATGCTGGCGTTCGGCATTGGCGATGACGTCAACGTACATTGGTCTTCAACTGCGACCATGTGATCTGGTTGTGAGAACATATATAGGCTAGATAGGCTGAGTTGAGTAGGCTGGGCGCCGAGCGCCAGGCAGCAGGGGTTGACGGTGGAAACTGTGTTGGTCTGACCAGAGTGTGGCAACATTGACACAACAGTTCATTGCATTGCTCTTAATATTTGCTTGGTATCTTGGTGTACTGTGCTCTCTTTTCTTGGTACACGACTATCTGAGCTACTTCGTGATTTTGCAACTTGGTTTTCTGTCTATCGCTCCCAGTCATAATCCTTGCAAAAAGGAAAGAAAAGAAAAGGAAAAAGGTTCAGCTTTTGGTACACCCACAAACTGTTGAAATACAGACCCAAGTTCGAAATTCACATCCCTTTTTTTTTTCTCTTTTTTCTTTTTTTCCTAATCCTGGGATCATGTCCCACTAGCTCCGTTGAGCTAGGTCTACATTTAGTTTTTGACTCTGTGTGACTATACGCGACCGCGGAGATGCACGTCGTCCAGGTCATCTAACGGTCCGTTTTTAATAAAAAAAGGCAATAGAGACTATCATTGCTTTTTCTTACAACAAAAAGCAGAAGTAAATCCTTTCTCTCGAATACTACTCCCCCTACCCTCGCTACTTTCCGTTGAGCTAGCTCTCTCCTTTTTTTGAGACAGCCAGCTCTGCAATGAACCCAGATCGTGAAGACACTTGTCAACAATGCAAGCCCAGATGAAGGTCAACCTGCTGATGATTATCAATAATCATGATCGTGTCCAGATAGAATGGGATGAGAGAATCATACACAGACGAAGGAGAGAGAGAAGGGAGATTAGAGTTAGAAGAATAAGACAATTGCCCACTTTTGCTTCGGGTGCCCTCCTCGATCACCACCTCAAATAATCAATAGTCTGAACACCTATCTGAAGTTCTATTACAACGTGCCAGGTGGCACTTCAATTAGTCCTCATCAGCTCACTGGAGCAATGTCGACCTCAAGATAACCAGGTACGTGTCCACGATTACAGCACAGTCATGATCTCCTCCTGAGTGACGATGAATCAGAACAGCAATCCCAGCCACGTCAGCAAATGTACATGTGGCAGCCGCCACGTCAGCAGCGACATGTGGCATCTGCCACGTCAGCATGCCCGGAAGACAATAGCAAGCAAGCCACCATGCCGAGTCAGCATCGCGTCGCCGTAATCACCCAAGTGCCAACACAAAGCCAGCGTCCAACCAGCGTCGCAGCGTCGAGCCAGCATCGCGTGAAGTTAACATTGACGCAAGACTGAATGAATGTCAAAGTCAGGAAGTCAGCGCTTTATGTAGCGTTGACGCGGGGTCTGGACCCCGGATACTGCATCCCTCAGCCGTCCAGATCTCAATGCAAATGATGGCCCAGATTGGCCTGAAACTGAATTCCTTCTGGCCTCGATGCTGTCTGGGTACCTGCGCAAAACAAGCGAGTGTATTCTACCGAGGGCCTGGGCGGGTACCTTTGACGTGACAGTTGACTCAGACTTTTGACTTCCAAGGGCAGTGTGTGGTCACACTGCCTGGTGCAGGCCGAATTTGGCCTGCGTCGTCTGGGCTCCGTTTCGAGGGCCCAGACTGCTGCAGACATGGGTTACTGCAGCTCAACGACCGTCTTATTTCAACGACCATTTCGTCAAAATGGACATTGTTTATTTTTTGAACGAAATTGAAACTGAGTTTTTTGGCCGAAAACTCGTCAAAGTTTGTTGTTCCTGAGGGTCTAGCGTTTTACAAACGCTGGACCCCCTGGCTGTACATGGACCTAGCTTGAGACCAGGCACCTCCAGGCAGGACTGCCTGGAGGTACCTGGTSTCAAGMTAGGTCCATGTACAGCTAGGGGGTCCAGCGTTTTACAAACGCCGGACCCTCAGGAACAACAAATTTTTACGTGCTTTCGGCCAAAAAACTCGGTTTCAATTTTGTTCAAAAAATAATGTTCAAAAAATAAAAGATGTCCATTTTGACGAAATGGCAGTTTTTCCCCAAAAGCTGTTTTTTTTTGGAGAAATTGTGCAAGCCCTCCTTCCGTTTGCCATTTTTGTACGGGATTCTGGCAACTCTTCATTTTTGGCTGTGGACCGTTTCATTCATTTTCACAATTGGAGTGGCATATGGGCAAGTCCATTTTGTGGGCAAGAAAAAAGGTTCAGCCCATATGTCACTCCAATTGTGAAAAAAGAGAAAAGAGAACGAAGTGTATCCGCACGATTTATGAATGCATTTCTCATTTTCAATCGAATTAAACTGAACAGTTTCAGCTGTCGCACCGTTGAGTTGCCTCAACTAAACGGTGCAAGTGGGATACGGTCCCTGATGGATGGAGATGCATGGAATGAAAATAAAAAAGAAAAAAGGTTCAGCTTTGGAATGAGGTGCAGGCCACATGGTACTCTCTTCGTCACTTTTACTTTTTTGTCATTTTGTAATCTTCTTGGCATGATTCCTTATAGTTTTACAGTGACAAGTCATTTTGTGGTCACCTTTGGTCTTTCATTATCTCTTTTTATTGGGCTTACTATAGTGGGATTTCAAACTCATGGACTGCAGTGGAATAGGTCCAGGGACCATGTTTCACCAGTGGGGGTTTAGTTTTTGTTTCGTTTATTTTTCAACATGGTCACACTGTGGCTGTGAGATTTTCAGATCGCATGGAAGAGAGCCATGTATACTCGAAACCAGAATTAAACCTCGACAGGTGGGGCATGGCCTCTGGTCTAGGTCTCACTTGCCCACTTACAATGAATAGGAGGGAGAAGTCCTTAGGGATGTCTGTTACATTGTTTCTCTTTGTTTTTCTAAACTTGAGAAAAGGGACTTTGTTTTTCTAAACTTGAGGGGAGTCAGGGGACTTTGTTTTTCTGAACTTGAGAAAAGGGACATCTGTTATGAGGGGATGCGGCCCAGAACTTCTTAGGAGGCGCTACTGGATGCCCTCAAACCACAAATGGGGTGTGTGAGGTTCGAACTCACGACCTTCAGATTCCTTTCTATATATGAGACTGACGCGCTACCGACTGCGCTAACACCCCTTACACAACTCCAATGGCCGAGGTACATCAGATGACGGTAAGAAAAGGAAAGGAAAAAAAAGAGCATGAACAACTTCATTTTCCCCCCCCCCCCCCCCCTTTTTTTTTTTTTTTTTTTTTTTTTTTTTTTTTAAAGGGGAAATTTGTCTGGCGCCCCTGTAATTTCAATTATTTTGCGCCACGCCCCTCCGACGGCCCACTTACCTTGTCGTGCCACTAGGGCCTCTGAACTTACCTGCATGGCCCGGTCAGCAAGGGGGACAACTTTACGTGGTGCCCTTACTTGACGGCCAGTCTCATTTCACCGGTCCCTGTGCGATATGCCCTGATGAGTGGCATACATCTTTCCATCATGCCCTTGCGCCAGAAATTCGGATTTGAAACACGTGTTTTTTGCAACGCTGCCACAAGAAATGACTGTGTGTGTGTGTGTGTGTGTGTGTGTGTGTGTGTGGTGTGTGTGGTGTGTGTGTGTGTGTGTGTGTGTGTGTGTGTGTGTGTGTGTGTGTGTGAGAGAGAGAGAGAGAGAGAGAGAGAG